ATTTATAAAAATATGCAAAATCTTAATAAATTCTAGCAATAGCCCTAGTTATAATTTGCATACATAATGTATTATTTATGTTCTGTTTGTTAATTTTCTATAAATAAATATTATTTTATATAATAATTGTATTATGTATAAATATCAATCATAATATGCAGTGCTAGCTTAAACTTTTTCTTCTATAAACAACTAATAAACACCCAATTACCAATTGTTTCAGTATTAACGTGGAAAACTAACGCATATACAATCCATATTTATAAAAGTACATAAATTATTCATAAGCTATTAACAAACTTAGGATCATTAAGATATCCCACTACTTTTATATAAGCTGAACGCTTCATAAAATACCTATTACCTATTCTCGGTTCTCGCTACCACTCATTATATGCATCTATCCAATTTATTTTGTTGAATACGTGGTAAAAATTGAAATACTACATAATCGGAAACACGAACTATTTATTCACGTACAAAACAATGATATTTGAGTTACCGTGATAAAAGGGAAAACACTAATAATAATTTAATAGTGCACGTGCGGTCTCTGTAGCCTGTATGTTATATGAGATCGTTAGAAAACTAATAACTTGTCCTCGTTTCTCTCTCTGAATACAAAATACTGGTGTATTATTGATACTATATTTATTTATATATTTTTTATGTAATGTTTGCTAAACAAAAATATGGCACAGTACACATATACGTTTTATTATACTATACAAAAATCTATTATATTATAAAATATATATAGGTACTTCAGTGATATTAGAAATAATTTAATTTGTCAATATATTTTGACTAACAAATGATGAAATGTCATATCATAAAAGTTTTAAATTTTAGATGAAATTTTATTAATTTAACCCTCTAGATGTTTTTATCAAAATTTGAGTTTTAAAGGTAATATGAATACTTAAATATATAAAAATAAAAAATATATATATTTGGTATTTTATTTTTGTTAAATAGTATATATTGTTTTGTTAAACATATTAAAAAAATATATAAAAAAAAAAAAAAAATGTTCTTATAACTAATTTAGTATATTTATATATACTTTTTACTATTCGTGAATATAAAATACTAACAGTAGATACATCATTTATAATTTATATAAAGTACTATAATGTATGGAAATAACCAAAAACAAATTCTGCAGTAGTAACTATATAACTATTGGCAATTTATTAGAATGAAACAATAGGAATTTAAATTTATTTCTGTATATCTATTATCTATTTATATGTAAATGTTACAAATTGAGTTTTACTCTTTGTAAATGAAAATGCAAATTATATAACATGTAAATGATTTACAATAGACATATACACGTATATTGATAGCCAAAATTTAAACAACTAGTCAGTTATTTACTTACTAATTACTGATTAATGATTATTACAAGAACATAAATTATATATGTATTCAACAACTGTAGTAATCACTTTTGGTTTTTAAATTTGTATTCTATATGTTTGAAAATTGTTCATATTATTATTATTTTATCAAAAAATAAGATGCGCAGAAAACTATTTATGAACTATAAAAATATTGGTGATAAGTAATTAAATATATTATCATATTATATTTTAGTTATTGCGATTATGTAAATATTTAAAATACTAAATAACTTTTATAAAAATCAATATAGTATATATTGTTTATTATAAATATATTTTATAACCTGTAAGCAAAATTTTTGAAATAAATAACATTAACGTGTTGAATATAACTTATAAATATATAGGGTACTTACAGACATTCATGGCATGCAAGTAATAATACTTTGAATTTATTTTTTGTAATGCCAATTCAAAACTATAGTGTTGTGATTATACAAAAACATTTTTTTAATGTCAAGATGTAATTTATTTTATCTGTATACTATAACAATATTATCATAGTCATCAGATCATTTTATTTATACTTTGATTTGTTTTCAAAATTTGTATTTGTCGAACCGTAGTTTCTAATAAAATTTTGTCCGGTAAATGATTGTATTGATTGCAATCCTCCTTAAACTTTAAACCCATATCATTATAGCAATAGTGCTCACCTGAATGAGTTCCTATACCATATACGTTATTTATTTAAATAAATAATAAAATTCGAAAATGATATAATTAAATTCAAGGATGTGATTAAACGCAGAATTATTAGATTGCTTGTTGGTTATATAATATTATAGGCAGGACATGAAAAAAACATGAATAATTTTATAGATTATAATATATAGTTAAATTTTGTAAAAATGAAATAATATTATATGATTATAATTTAAGTTATATAGGTCATAGGTTCTTTAGGCCGGGTTTTAGTGATTTACCAACAATAATTAATAACGACGATCAACTGTAATGATATCATTATTGCATATTGAAATGTCTATACCAGTAGTTCTCAAACTTTATTTTTCATAGAGCTATTAAGCAGCTAAAAGAAATATTGGATCTACATCACTCTATGAATGCTATATAGAACTAGGAGGCGTAAAATTTAATTTAAAAACCAAGAATCAGTGGTATAATATATCAAAAACCTTTTTTTTTTAATTTGTTGTATCATTAAGTTTTTGTGTTTGATGGTAGCAGTTATGTGAATGTCACGATCCTAAAATTTGAATAACTTAACTGTAAACGACGGTAACGACAGCGGTTTGATAGCGATTTGTTTCCATTTTTCTATGTACGCCACGTATTAATCGATGGTCAATAGCTCACTTAATCTAGTAAGTGAAACCGTATGGTCGAAGGACGGGCCGTTAATCGAAATTCGAATATTTATGTCAAGCACTTCTTTAGTAGCGTCCAATCACTCTGGACAATTAATGCTGATAATATTTCAAATTAATTAACGAAAAATTCATATTATAACCAGTGTCAATACTGTTAATTCCCATAAATTTGAATTTAACTCAGCTTGAAAATGATAAGCAACCTTACGATCACACATAGTGATTATGCATTTTTCAACTATTTTTAATGTTAACTAAAGATTTTGTTAATAACGTACCCACGTTTATTATTTTTTTTTTCAACAAATTTTGATCCACAAAATTATCAAATTAATTATAATTGCATAACACTTACAGTGTGGTTAAACAAAAAAAAAAAAAAAAAATTAATCAATTAATAACTAGATACAGCTATAATAATTAAATATGCGTGTGTGTGTTTTATATAAATATGTTTATTTGTATATTTTAGAGAAACACTGCAAAGTTATTAACACAAAAAGAAAATTATGTGACCTTCGTGCGTATAATGGTTTAGGTTTCAATATCTTTATTTAATTGTATTTATCATTGTTTTCTAATTCAAAAACATAATACACCATTATCCAGCATTTCTGTATCGCTGAAACTAACTATGTGATTGAATCGTTTCGTTCAAACATTTGATTTGTTATCATGTTATTTTTTTGTATATATATTTTGTTTTAAGTGGCTGCATAGCTTAAGACGTGTAGTAACATAATTAATAATATTATTAATACATCCAGTAAGTAAAATACACAAAAACTATTTTTGATGAATTTTATTATATCTTAAAAAAGAATTGATACAAATTCCATACTATAAGTATATATATATATTGTATATACTTAAGATTTAATATAAGTTATTATTTATGTAATGTTATTAATTTTAATTTGAGAAAGTTTATTTATTAGTTGTCTCACATATCAAAATATTATATAAGTATATATTTTTTTTTTTTTTATAGAGAAAATAAATTTTCAATTTAAAAAACAATATCGACATGATATTACCATAATGTATGGATGATTTTTTTAGGTAATATATATTTTATTTTGACACATGAAGTCCTAAACAAACGAGTATATCGATCAAACCATATACGAGTTAAAGTCGAAACATTTAACGTTTCAATATGCGAAAACAATATTATATACTGCCCACAGAAATATATAACAAGCACTGAAATACACATGCCTATTATAATAACAAAAATCAAATAAACCTTAACGTGATACTGTATAGTTGTGTACTGTATTACAAAAAAATCATTGATCATTCTAACTATTTCATAAAACATATAATATATAGCTTTCATGTACATACCAAGTAATACAATGTCTACGCATATACATAAACGCGTCCATTTTATTATTTTGCACGAGTCACAGTAACTCTGTTAGGTGGTAAACAAACATAAGTATAGGCACTCATAATTGTTTCCAATGGTCCTTTTCTCTCAAGTGTTTTGTGTGATAGTATTATTTACGCCACTCGTTACTCGCGGAAACGTTTTATGCATACCCAACGGTTTTATTATTGTACGTGTTAAACCGTTAATAATATTTTTATGACCACTCAATATTTTCGTTGTATAGTATAATATTATAAATAATAAATATCTAATATACGTATTGTTATTACTGTAAGCGAGTCCGTGAAAAACCTAAAAACCTTTATATACACTATTTTCTATATTTTCGTAAAATAAAATAACCACCGCAATTATTATGAAAAAATCATTTGAATATTAAAATATTTAAAAAAAAAAATACTATAAATACTCATTAAACACTTAATACATTGCAGAAACTCGTAAATTCTTATTTCACCCATTTACATTTTTAGCGTCTTGATCAAAACATAGTATTTTTATTCTACAGGACTATAATGTTTTTAAATGAGTAAAATTTGTTTTTTTGAAGTTCACACAAACTAAGACCGCATGTCAGCACAGTATTTATGATGTATAATGTATACACATAATATATTATACGAAAATGAAGAGATTATACTCAGATGGTTCGTTCCTACTTTAGTGAGGAAATATAGTTATGCAAATAAGTATTCTGATAAGTATTTTTTCACGTAAAAATATATTATAACGGATGTAAGAGAAAATTAAAAAATAACCATTTAATAGTATAATACATATTATATAATCAGTGTTAAAATTTAAGTGAATTATCTTAAGGTGTTAAATGGGTCGACGACGACGTCGTCGAGATAACATTCATTTTTCGCATGGTTCATCCTGGGCGGCGACATATTGGCCCGAATTTTGTCCTTGTGATGCGATGGCGGAATCGTATTGGGGCTGTTGGTATCCGACCGAATACTGTTGTGGACTGATCATGGAGTAGCGTGCTTGAACTCCGGCGGCCGATTGCTCGTGACTGTTCCAGTGGTTGGCGTACTGGTACGAAGTCGCGGGAGCCGACGAACTGCGATACGCGTACGGTGTTGAAGCCACGTACAGAGCTCGGGAAACCTGTTGCAAGGGTTGAACGATCTGTGCTTGGGGGGCTGCAACGAAGGTGGCTGAATTGTATTCTGGTGCCTTGGGGGCGGCTGAATTGTATTCTGGTGCCTTGGAGGCGGCTAAATAGTATTCCCGTGCGGTCAGAGCAGGTGCGTAATATTCCGGTGCCTTCGGGGCAGGCGCGTAATATTCCGGTGCCTTCGGGGTAGGCGCGTAATATTCCGGTGCCTTCGGGGCAAGTGCGTAATATTGTGGTGCCTTCGAGGCGGGTGCGTAATATTCTGGTGCCTTCGGGGCAGGTGCCAAATATTCTGATGCTTTCGGGGCAGGTGCCAAATATTCTGGTGCTTTCGGGGCAGGTGCCAAATATTCTGGCGCTGCAACAGGAGTGGCCGCGTAGTACTGGGGTGCGGCGATGGAGGCAATTTTAACGGGAGTCGGTGGGTGATTGACGAAGGATTTATGCGAAGACGATGTGGTCTGTCGGCCGTACGATTGGAGGTTTGCGGACTTGACGATTTTAACCGGAGCGACTTGGTATTGTACGACCTGAGTCTGCAGTTTGGACGCGGTTAGAGGTGCCGGGCTGGCAGCGTAATACTCAACTCGTGGTGCATACTTTGGGAGAGGTTCATGTTTGGCGATAGGCGTGTACTCCGCAGGACGAGAAGCGTACAGTAGTGGTTCGGCTGCAATTTTCGTTTCCAAAATCGGGGTTGCAGCCACGATTCGGGAAGATTCGAAATCGGCGGTGCGCAAGATTGACGATGGAGTCACGGATACAAATTCAGCGTTTATGATCGGTCCTGGAGATGCTGGCGAGGTGATTGGTTCGGATACGAAATTCTTGGAAACCGGAATCATTGGTTCGTCGTATACTTGGTCATCGCAGATTTTAGTCTCACGTTGATCGTTCAGTTCCCCGGTGATTGGATCATTCACGCCATATCCGTAGTTGTATGATCCCGAATGGGCAGAAACCAGCATCAAGCAACTCATGGCCAACATCAAACAGATCTATATAAGCGATACATGGATGTATTATGATAATAATTACATTACCGAGACGACAGCGTAACCGGTAAAACGTTTTTATTTTTTTCCTTTACTGAGTGTAATGGATGTAATGAAATTGTTAGAACTCGGGTCTGCGCTTAAATAATATTAACTTACTTGAATACGATTCATGGTGACTGTCGTTGTATTGCCAGTTTTTAAATTGAAATGTAAAAAAGACAAATTATAATATACGCTATCAAAGTACCAGAGTATTAGTATTTAATATTTTAATGCTCACGTTGACCTGTAGGGAGACCAAACGTTGAATGTGATAGGAAAGATGATAGCCGGCGCTTATATACTATATAGTGACATATCGTAACGAACATTCTGATGGTTTTTATGTGGGGATTTGGAAAACACACAGACCTTGTATTTCATATGAAATCGATTATAATTACGGATACGATACGAAATCGTAACAACATGACCAGAAGCGTATTGTATTTAAACATTGCTTTAATACGACTTTAAGCTTGTGTACGTTTGTACATTCTAAGAAGTTTAACAACGACAAATTAATTTTTATTTTATATTTGTATGTGTGTGTATGTGTGTGTGTGTGTGTGTGTGTGTGTGATTACTTTTTGGATTAGTGAAAATCCTTCTATACTATTTATTGTATTCCGGTATTCGAAATAATAAAGAAAATATATTTTTAATGAAATAACAAACCGAATTACAATTACTCCAAAGTTTAATATATTCATGATTAAAATATTATTAATTATTATTAAATACCTGATAAATATTATTATGGACGTACAAATTATAAGAATAGTATAATATATCTAATATAGGATACATTGATCGTCTGATAGGTGAAACAAAAACGTATCATAAAATATATTTAACTGTTTGTAGTGGTATATGAATCATCACTATTTTTTAAGAACTCATGCGTATTATATACATAAAACTTTGAAATGTTTTACCTATAGATAGATAAATAATATAGACTATAGTATGTACAAACGCATAATGTATAATATAATCTATAAATTATTATATTTGCGACAAATGCATTTTAATATATTTTGAATTTATGTTTTGTTTGGCAAATTAAGTTGTAATCGACAAAACCACTATAATTATTTACAAATGCATTATTGACGTAAAAATATTCTAGACTTGCAGGTACTTTAGGCGTATAACTGACAAAAAAATTCCACGTCTTTGAAGAATGAAATAACTTAATTATGTAAAATATAATACTGTGGTCAAACTATAATAGAACTACAACTTTCATAAATTAAAAATAATTTGTATTATAAGAATTTTAATAAGTTATAACTATCTTAGATAGTTGACTTAAAGTATAGTGCTTTACCCAACAAGGTTGACTTAATCAATGAGCAACTTAAAAATTTTGTGGTCACATGTTTTCACAAATGTGATGTAAATAGTCATTCGTAAGTGCATACTACATATTACGAATCAAATTTTCGTAATTTCGTTATCTAAAATAACAATATTTATGATGATATATACACTATGTCAACCAACTCATATATTTTGGAAAATATTAATTTAATCTGTATACAGTGTTCACAAATGTAATTTCTGTGTGCGATAAATTCTAGTTTGTATAATATTTCTGATGTTATATTTTTATCTGTTCAAATCATGCGCACAAGCCGTCAAATTGTGTGCGACAAGCTGATACACTTCAGACAGGTCGGTATTGTAATACGAGCACGGCTCTTCGAGATTTTCGGTCCGACCGGACTTTATAACGATATCGCATTATTATAATAAATTATGTAACTCTGTGTAAGTATGTAACACACATGGCACATATAGCTCGTAATTTGTATAGTTTTCCACTCCCGTGGATTAGAGGTCATACGAAAAGCGTATTCAGAAAGTCAACTCGCTCACGCACGACATCATAAATATTAACGGGCTTATGTTACATCTCCGAGTATTCGAAGAGTATGTGAAGAATTTCACATGCGATATTAGACAGATAGCATTTTTATTTTCATTCATAGAAAAGCGACGATGCTGTACGATAATAATATTATTTCAATAAAGACCGAATGTCTGTGAGATGACTGTACTGTAGAACGTACAATATATCATCTCGTTAATAAAACGACGCAAAATGTCTATAAATAGTATGATACCATCCACGTTTGTTTTTCATACAGAAATTATTTTATTTTTCTCGACTTATTTTTTGAAAATTTTTCGTTTATTACAACTTTCTGTCCCTAATATTACTGCTTATTGTTTAACTATATATATATAAACATTATAAATTCCAATATTTATTTATTTATTGATAATAAACGCGCTAAGTAGACTCAGTATAGCTTATACACTACAATTTAATACTTTTAGTAATTTTATGAATTATATTATTAATAATTATTAATTATAAAACAAAGTAAATCATATAAGAATAGAGTAGACATTTAAGAGTATACGTTTTAACCTGGTTGGGTTTTCATTGAATAAATCAAAATGTTTTGATCAATTCTCCGAAATAAGCATTTAATTTATCAGAGCAAAAATACTATAATTCTGTCGGTAAGTATTTGTATAGAGTGGTTGAGATGAAGAAGTTTTTGGAAGCAAAGGCGTAAGAAATATTGAATGCATTCAAGAATATAATATAACTTATAATATTTGACCAACATATCGATAAATTGTGAATTGAAATCTACTAACAAGCACATATTTTTATTTTTGGACTTTTGTTTTCAAATATATTGCTACTAATGAGTGTGAACGATATGTTTTACGTTGCATAATAATAATTCGTACAACAACAAGTGATGAAAGAATGTATGTGTTTGACTATTGTAAGACATTACTGTTTAATGTCTTAGGCTTTAGCGCATTCCTATGTATACTATACAGACAAAATAATATTCGTTTGCTGTAAACCCTTAAGGTATATTACAATATTTTGTGTCATAATAATAACAGCGGTGTACTTACTAAATGGTGTACTCTTTTCCAAAATCTTAACGTTTTCAAAATAGTAAATTGTATTTTACTTAAGTTTCATATTATAATATAAGTATGTAAATATCCGAGATATTATATCTCGTGATTAATGGCCATGTCAAAATTAAAACGTGACGTGAGCATTTATGATGCGTATAAATTATTAGATTTTTTTTTGTAAAGCCTTTCCACCAACACGTCATCTTCGTCGTGTTGAACCGTATAATATACAGATATACAATAAACATACAAGTTTATTCTACACGTATAAATTACATATAAATAATTTAATATGTGATTTCGGGTTATCAAAGACTACACAAATACATCGAGTATTCCCGCCTTTCCGCCTGAAGTGTCAAGTACACAAGAAATTTAAATTTATCTAAGAAATATTATCTTGATTAACATTTTCAATAACTAAAATACATAGTTCCGACTATACACAAACATTTAATGTTTTTTGCAATAATCGCTATAAATAAACAATAATCTTCGAATATATTAATATGCATACATAATAATGCTGTGTAAAATTATTAATATTAACATAAAAACTCCGATTATATTATTATGAATAGCAAACATTGAAAAAAAATCAACTTGAATAATAAGATTAATATAATTATAAATATAATATTATAACTATTTTCACAAAAAACTTAGTTAAAATTATAATACATATTATAACGAATATTTAAATAAAAAATATATATTTTTAGATAAAAGTGTTCATCAAATATTTATTTGAAAACCGTCGTATATTTATAATATTGAATTTTTTTCCGGCTTTACGATCCACTGAGGATCGTAAAACTACCTCCTCCCATTTCTCTCTAAAAAAAAAAAAATATATATTGAAAGATTATAAAAACGTAATATGTAATCTTCATGTAACTATGTTTTGATTTACTATGCGAAAAATTACATTGATTAGGTAATTGATAAATGAATGGCTTACTAGTAAAAGTTTAAATAAGTAAAAGAATATAATATATTTACTGTTCAGTTACAGTTTTTTATTTAAACATTACAGTTTATTCCATTTTTAGTAAATATTTCAAAATACTAACTTTGAATGTTTAAAAATAACTTAGGAAATCGCTTCGGCGTATGTGAAGTGTATAGTATTGAGTGTCTCGCTATTAAATACTTACTAAATCTGTTAATTTTGAATTAAATGAGAAATCATCAAATATACCATTAAAAACGATTCTCAGTGGAGATGATCTGTTGGTCTATATTTTCAATAATTTTTATAATGAAAACAGTATTTTGTTTTTTTATTAGTATTAATTTATTATATCAGTGGTAAAAATATCTTAAAATTATATTTAATATTTTTAAATTTCTATAAAAAAAACATAAAATATAGTTGGAATAAAATTTTCAAATCTTAGTCACATCTTTTAAAATTAAAAACCATTTATATTTCGAAAATATTTTAAATATTATCCTACCTAATATTATTTTTGTAATTATAACAAATTACGTTAAAATTTTGTTTTAAAACACGTACATTTTAAAAAACTTATGTTTATTTTTTATATTTTTAAATTGGGGTGACTTATGATTTATGAGGAATCTTACATTAAGTTTCCAAATTATTATATTCTTAATATATATATATATATATATATATATATACATATAATATGTACAAATCAGCATAAAAAATTACAATACTTAAAATGTCAATCTATTAATGAAAAACACACCATTGAAAAGCAATATATATATTTTTTATTTTACTTATGAGATAAGATCGTTTAACATGGTCGAGTCTTGCTTTACGATAAATATATAATTTTTATTTAATGAGTAATACCACAGGATGCGTATGAAGCGAATACTTAAAAATGCTGTTATAGAGTATTGAAACATTTTGATTTTTATACAGAATCTATCATACCAATTGTGCAAACTAAACAATCACAAAATTACAAAAATCAATAGATTGCGTTTTTAATCTAGTGATTGCATGGTTCATCTGCAATAGCATCGGCTGAAGAGTATTGAGGTGCTAGAAGCAGATGGTACCGAGATGTTGCGAGTTCTAAGGAGATAGGGAGTCCTTTCCTTATACACCATTAAAAAAAACGCCTTGAATATTGCAGGTAGTGTTTATGTGAGGGTTATTAATATAATAATTATATGTGAAAACAATCTTGTTCACAGTTTTTAGTAATAATGTGATATTTTTATCTGATAATAAAATAGGGAAAGTGTTTTTCTGTTTTCTCACATCCTAACAATCACTAGCATTATTTATGTTTTAAAAAATATTCTATCGCAATGTATTGATTAACATCATTTCTATTATAGCAATTTTTATTAACGACCATTTATAGACATAAATAATTATAAATAATAAAGTGACAAACAAAATTATTTATCAGTATATATTGTGATTATGTATTATACATTTATACATAGATACTCATTATAAAATACAAAAGTCTTAATAGTTAAATTAAAACCAAATTTTGATTTTACTGTTTATGAATTAATTTAAAATGTTTATTTTTTATTTATAAAAATAATTAAATACTTATCATATTTAAATAATATAAATACCAATGAGGTTTCGACAACATATATTTTAAGGCTAAATAATTACTGAAATTGGAAATTCAAATTACTGACATTTAATTGCGACATGTTATTTCAAATATATTAACTTAGTATTTAATTATTTATTGTATTTGATTGATTAATATAGTATGTTGCATCCATTATATTATTTAAACTAATATAGAAAGTTATAGAAAAATATTGTGTATATTATACTGAATCGGAACTTATTTTTAAGTGTGATAACTCGTTAATGAAATTAAATTGGCTCGTTTAAATGTGGCCTGTACAATAAACATATAAAAATGCATTTTTAAATTGCAAATTTATAGTTTCTTACCTACTGTCATACTTTAATGATATAAAAATGTCCCTAAATTATTGTCCATGAAAAAAAAAACTATTATGAATTTAAGCGCGTTTAATTTTATTGTATTGTGAAAAATACAACTATAACAATTTTAAATTGAAATCATTCAGTATTACTTTGCTCTACCTATCAGTGTGATGCATGCATTTTAAACAATTCGTATTGTGTTATCATTAAAAAAAAAATAATATTCTTCAGTCAATGTATGAAAGAATCGACAAATTAATAGTAGTATTCTTTAAAATGTAATTGAATATATTATTGCAATTATTATTTATAAGTCAAATGTAAATTTCTCTAAAATAGAAAATCCGGGCAGTAAAGTTTATCGTTTATATACTAAAAAGGCTTATATGGAAACTACAGTTTTATATTACAGTAAAAACATAGTACAGGAATCATGTATTGATGTCGAGATACGCGTACTATAATATTATATTATTATCTAGTTTTGAGTATTTCACATGATTCAACAGTTATATGTTTTATTTAACTTTTGGTTTAAGGTCACACGTATTTGTTATATATGAACTATGCATGCGTATTGTAAATTTTAATTCAATTAGTACAATACTTCATATACTAAACGACTGCAGTCTGTTTCAAAACCAAAACATTCTATAACCATATTAAATAAAAATATACATATGAAATCAAATAAAATGCTCATTTTATTGAACGAAAACCTATCTGTTAAAATACGCGATGCTCACGTAATCAATTTGAATAAAATGTTTTGATTTTCTCATTTCTGTGATATTCACATAAATTAATTAAGATGCCAAGATATGTGTGAATATTAATTAATGAACAAGTAATTCATTTTAAAATAAAATTTTAATCACTAATTTTAATATGATACATTATTAAGTTAGTTTTTAAATATTTAAGTTAAATCAATGTATAGTTTTAAATGGAAATGTACTTATTAATATAAGTTAAATTATGGTAATGCCGTATCGATGTCTGACATTATAATGAGGCAAATTTATCAAAGTGATCTAATAAAACTAAAATAATGTATTTTCATTATAAACGTATGCAACTTAACACATATACCTAATAGTTATGATGAATTATAAGAATTATTTTCATGTTGTATTATTGTTTAACTAGTAACTCTAGTAACTGATAAATAATATTTAAATTTATAATGATTTAAAATATTCATAATTTATTTTATCAGCAACGAGGTCATTACGTTATTAGATTTCTAAATATTAATATCTTAATCATATTGATCATAGAAAATTTCTAAAATAAATATATAATGAATAAACAATAATACATTAAAATATATTCAATAATATAAAAAAAATTTGATTTAAACTCATTTATTTTCAATTAAAACTTATCAAATAACATTTTATGTTTAAAAGTTAAAAATGAAAAACAATTTCAAATTCCGTATAATATAATATAATATAATTGAATAATAATAAATAATATAAAAATATAAACATTGTGTCAACTTTTATAATTTGCATTATCTCATGTAATAATTTTTAATGTATTTATATCAGACACAAATTAATTTGGTGAGAAAAAATTATTTTTTTCTTTAGAATATATATAAGTATGATATAATTAAGGTTCATTGCGAATTTTATAATTTTGAACTGTTTTTCAGAAAATTACGGGTAAGTACACTTCAGTGTATTTTGGGCTTCTAAAGATAACTATTATTAACGGAAATCTATTTTTCGACAAATTTTGATTCTTGACATGTACCAATAACATTTTAAACACGTAATTATATATTTTTTTTTTTTTATTTATGATATACATAATTAAACCTTAAACAACATAAAAATTGATATGTATACACAAAATTAGTAAAATATCACATACATTTTTGTCATAATATACAACTTTCTATTTATATCGTTAATAATTTAATTTTATAAATCTGTATAGCATTAATTCTAATATATTATATGGTTGATACAATATTATAGTTTCTATTGATATTATATTTATTACTCTATACTATGAATTATTTACGAAACATAAAATAAATAATAAATATTGTGTACTTAGAATTTTGTAATTAAATATTATCAAAGTTTAATCAAATCAGATTAAAATCATTTGAGGTAAAATTCAATTTTTTATAAAATCATAAATATAAATGAAATCATTTTTATTTATATACTTTCCAATACAGTTCACTTAAGCAAACGTTTTAATCTCTTTGGTATAAACTTCATTATGATTCTTCCTATGTACATTTTTATTATGTTTCGATTAAATTTGTGCAGTGAGTGTATTATATTAAAATATAACATCAAAGTATAAAATAATATGTCATATCGTTATTATAATGTGGAAAACTAATTAATGAAGAACTATTATATAACGTAAGCGCCTATGCACATCATAAATTAAAAAAATCAAAGAAAATCGCTTTCATTTATAGTAGGAGTATACATATATGATATATTATATATATATATAAATTTACTAATAGATTAATTATATTATACTTAAATATTGTTATTAGTTTACAAGCAAAAAAAAAAAAATATATATATTATAAAATAGTGTGAATAAGTTCATGCTAAAAAGGCTTACAATTAATCTAATTAATTCTAATATTTGATTGTGTACCTATAGTTATAATTATATAATATACATTTTATACCATATACCTTATGTCAATAAGTTTCAATTTCCTTTTTCGAATATCAACAAAATAAAAAAAATCGTTTGATAAAAAATCATTATTTTGAGTGTGAATAAGTACATCCCTGATGTTATCAAAAATTAAACTTTATTAACTCATAATAAATATATGTAACTTGACAATATTTATTATTTTAAATTTTAGTCAAAATAAAAATATCTTTTTTCAAGTTTTGTTCAAACTTGTTTACCTATAAAAATAAAAATGTTATCACTAATAACACTGTTTTAAATTAATTTGATATTGACATAAAAATAAAGAGTAATATAATATACTGTTATGGTAATTAATAATAAAATTAATGTTTTCTGAAAAAAAAAAAAATTCAACCTATTGTATTACCATAGTATTAAAATTAATGACTGTTGTAGCAATATGAATGTACTCAATAATGTAGGGTCATATAACATATCTTATCTGTATTATTTTTTGTATGAAGGGATTTATCGTGGTAATTTAACGTCTACATTATACACTGACCTATTCAAAAACGAGCTACAGTCAACATTAAATGTACAGCAGACCGGTTATCTACTTATCCGATTTTTTTTTTTTTTTTAATCACTTTGTATTTATTGCCTACTATTTAGCTATTTTTTATGTATCTAATATTGGTATGTACCAACTAATAATATAATATATATTGAGTAATAAATGATAAAACAATTAAGTATATTTTTCTCATTTACAGAGATGTATGAATCATATTCATAACAAATTTCGTATTCATTGTTAATTAATAGTTTATACTTCTATGTGTTATTTATAAACCGTAATATAACTATTTCTTATTTAGTCAATTTCAAGGTTCGTTGTTTTTGGATAACTAAACTACCACAGGCTATGAATGTACTGTTCTAGATGACTATTTAAATGCTTGCTAACACAACATTCAACTCATTATTATGAATTGAACTGTTCAAACGCGTAATAACAATATTGTCTATTATAATTATCTCTCCAACATGCAGTGTATTAAAGTAAGTAAATTTTATATATTACCTAAAATTTAACATTATATAGTACATAATTTACTGGTACGATAATGTCCGTATAAACCATTTTTATATACTATTAAGTCAAATTTTTTTAAGAACATTTTTAAATTTTTAAGAAAACATCAAAGATAGAATAATTTTTGTATAATAAAAAATTTAAATAATACAAATAATTTGATTATTTGTGTGATTAATTTTTATCCTTAAAATAAAAATAATAATACATTGTTTTTAACAACAATATCAATTACTGCATACTAATTATTCTACGAATACTCCAATTTGATACAAATTAAGATCTTCATGGTTCCATCACTTACTATTTGAAATTTTCTATCTGGTTTTTATTTATTATTATTACTTTAAATCTCTGCAGGGTAATGACTCTTTTACTCCATGACACATGAAAATATTTTTTTCAACGTGTCAACTCGGAAATGTGTCAAAAAATAAATTTTCATTTTTAAATTTCAACAAGCACATATAATTTGCGTAGAAGTAGAATGTAATAAATCATGTGTTATTACGTTTACAATGTAATACAACCGTGTAAGGATCTTGCAGGTGCTTGCTATTCGTGTTAATAATAAAGCCATAAAAAAAATTCAAAATATTTGAGACAACGCTTTTATTACATCAATAATAATAATTAGCATTTAATATACTGAATATTATTTTCCTTTTAGATAATTATATTCTTATGATATCTTAGTTAGTAGTACCATAGCTAAAAAGGTATTTACTTATTTACTCTTTTTTTGGAGGGGGGGATCAAGTTGGACTGAATTTCATTAATAAATTAGTACTTTAATTTAGACATAAGTACTGAAATAAAATGAAAATATGTAAGTAAGGCTATTTTAAGAACTATAAAAAATATAAATTTAATAATAAATGATAAAACGTATGAACGACTAATTAAAAACATAATAGCTGTTAACTCTTACCATTTTAAGAAAATAAATTCAACGTTTCAAATATTAATATTAAACCGTAAAATAACTACAGAGTTAAACCAAAATAATTTTTAATATATTAATCATAGACATTCATAGCTTATTTTCACACTGTACTTACAATAATTATAATGACTTATAAATGACCATCGTGGTTGATGTTATGCTAATTATCATCAAATTTATCTATTATAGAATATAGTTTTATTTTTAGGCTATAATTAGATTGTACCGTAAGCGTGTATATATATACAGAGAGAGAGAGAGAGAGAGAGAGAGAGAGAGAGGTTTAATGAGAGATGGTGGAAATCTTAATTTCCCCAAAGCTGTAACATTCTTAACTATTATTTTATCATCGAAACGGTGTTAGTGAAATACTATTATTAAGTAACCCTAAATTATGACATTAAGTTTATGATGTCATACTATATGAAAGATAAGCTGAGAATGAGATCACATCGGAATCCAACATTTTGATATTAGGATACCAATAATATTACAGTATATTAATTTTTATCATCGGAAAAATTGGAATTGCCTTGTTTAGGCTATTAATTCATTATTTTGGTTCATCGATTCTTGTTGTTTTTATTTTTATTTTCAGATGACGATTTCAACACTTTTATTGGTAGTACTAATGATTTCTTGCATACTACAAATGGCGTCAGCTGGATATAACTTTGGCTACGGCGTGAATGATCCATCGACCGGTGATATCAAGGACCAACAAGAAACAAAGAATGGTAATCAACTGACAGGCTACTACAGGCTACTGGACTCCGACGGTTTGGTCAGAACAGTCAACTACCAATCGCATCCATTAACTGGTTTCACAGCTCAAGTTTCCAGAGACCCAATTGGGATGGAAGGACAGACTACATCCCGGCAAGCGAAGTCTAGAGCGCAACCACAAAAGTCATGGCCTGCAATTCCACGTACACCCCTTATACCAATCATCCCCAACTCACGTCTCGATGATGGAACAAGGTACGGATATCCAGAAGGTTACCCACAATAGTAGGTGTTCATTGAAATCCACATTTAAATATCGCACTCAATCTATTTCCCTCTTCAATATGCATATCTAACCACTGTAAAATTGTAAGAAGTGTGTAATAATAATACATTATATATGTTTTTGTCTTTTCTTTACTATTTTCAAAAATACACAATATGTTGTTTTTCATTGAAATGTATGTCTTTTTTTTATTTTAATTTAATTTGATACTATTATATTTTTGATGGTAATGGATTCTTTTAAATCCATGAACGGATTTTTTAAATATTTTTTATTAACAAAAAAAATATATTTACAAGTATCATTATAGGAAAAGGCTCAAAATACATTTTGATTGAATAATTTACCATATAAATTATAATAAAATAATTAAACATTTAATACATTTAATAAAAACAAATTAATAATCAATATATTCATAAATTTAGGTATTTGATATTCTAATATAATTATGTAAATATGAACTTAATAGTATGATCGTACAAGTTACTCCGAAAAACTGCACGTGTTCTTTAAATAACATTCACATGTTACGTAAATTTTAATATGGTTACCTATAATATATTATTTATTCAAAGGTTCTATAATACCAAACTTCTGAAAACTCAACAATTAATTTAAATAAACGGTTTCGACGAACTGAACAAAAAAAAAAAAAAAATTTAAAAAAATACTTATATACATATATTATACAGTAAAATTATTAAACAGCAGCTGATCACTATACAAAATAATTTTGATTGATATCATGTAATTTATTTACTTTGTATTAATATAGGTACGTAGAACTCAAAGTCAAACGATTTTACAAATGTTTATGTAATATTACAAAACTCCGAAGCACGTTGTAATATTTTCACTAAATACACAATACTATAGTTTTAACTTCAAATACTTAGCTCGTATCAGTCTTAATATTCTAGAATTAACTTGCAAAATAATATGCTTGCTTAAAATTTTTTAAACCATGTTTATAACAGTAAATATAGGTACGGTGAACTCTAATTGCTCTGAAATAGTCTGTAGGTATAATAATATAAAACTGTACATTTGTGAGAATAGTAAACGACCAACGTTATGTCACATAATACACAATAATATAATATACATAACTCTGTTTATGCAAATACGTGAAGGAAAAAGATTATTATGTTAGGCCTGTTAGGGGACTTAAGATATACCAAAATTAAATTGTTAAGTAAATATTATTTAAAAATGTAATACAAAATAATTTTTATTTAATAGACTCACAACATTAATGCTGCTGAATTGCCTATTTAAAGCGCCGTCTAGTCGTTGTATTGCTATATATTTTTATTTTATTTTATTTTATTTGATTAAATTTATAATAAACATAAGTGAAATAAAAAAAAAATTAAAAAATATAAATTATAGACAAATCATAGTTATATCCTTACTTTAAAATTATCTTAATAAGAAATATTTTAAATTAAAAAAATCAAATAATCTTTTTTAATTTAAATTTAATTTTTTTTTTTTTTTTTAATACCTACTTATTTCTTCTTAATCTTGAACACTGTTATTAATTAGTAATTAGATTCATAAATTTAACTCTAGTTATTATAAATAATTTATTTAATAATGATTAAATTATTTCAGTTTATAAATTGTAATTTACGAATATATTTCTTAGTGAATTTAAAAATTCCACTTTTTGTACAGACATACTAAACATTTTTCATAATTTGTTGATAATTACATAATATAATATTATTAGTAATTTGAAAATAAACATAAATATTGAAAATATTTTCATCTTATGATTACCCCTCATGATTGACCTTAAAATGACGATTTATTCGTCAAAAATAACAGCGCGTAAATTACGTTTTTTTTTAAACCATCGGAGATGGAGTGAATTTGTTCATCATTTTAAAAACAGCAACGTTGGGCAAAATTTCCTATAGCTATGTACAATTTACCACTAAAATATTGCATAAGTAGATACATAAAATGAAAAATTATCGATAATCTATTGCGGAAGATCACACTATGACAGACAGAAACGACCGATGTTTTTGTAAGCACGTGAATAATCGAATCTGTTGTATTCCTCTCAAAAGTCGACCAGTATGTTATATAAAATGATTATCAGTGAAAATATTAGCTTTAAAATAGTAAGGTGGTAAATATATCAAATTAATTTACATTGAACTGCTGTCAATGTTCGGTTATCTAATATTCCTGTCGATTAAACGGCATACGCAACTTTGTGCAAACGTTATAAATACATATGAGTATATCGAATTTATGTGGTGTTATTTAATTCACGGAATCGGATAAGTTTTGTTTAGCAGTAGTATTATATTATATTTGATAGTCTAGGGTTTTGGGTGTAATCACACTACAAACTAATATACTGTACTGATTACGTGAACCGTATTATTAATTGAAAACTCAATTCCTATCTTAGATCTAATTGTAAATCTATAATAATTAATTTCATATACGTAATATGATACATAATAACTGTTTTATGTACAATGAGTGTTACAATAGGTTATTGTATAATCTGAAATGGAAATTAAAACCACTATATTTGAATTTATGTGCACCTAAATTTTATATAAACATACAAGTTCTTAGACTAACACTGAATGTTCACTAAAGCAAAAAGAAAAAAAAATATATTATATTTATATATTTTTGAATATTAGAATGCTATCCAAATAATATCAAGTATTACTTTATTTTATTGTTATTATTTACAACAAACAAATAATAATTTATTTAAACATTTTATAAAGATAATGATTAAAATCCTACATAATTCTACTCTAAATACAACATTTCTGATAGTTTACCTAAAGAAAGTCATCCCCTGAAATACATCTCTGGTGTAAACATAAACAATACGACCTTACATTATTCTTTAGGCATCTCTTATTTTGAGATAGCAATATTGATATTTATAATAACACTTCGTTGTTGAATAATAAAGTTTCAATTTAAAAATATTATAAAAACCACCATACAGCAACACAATATTTTAACTACTAGTCACATGGACATATTCACAAGTTCTGGAATCATCAGTTAGGATGCGTCAAATGTGACGAAAACCACATATCAGGAAGTGTTTTTAAGATCACAACAACACTGATGAATGTGCTCTTTGCACTAAGAGTCACAAATTATATTTCTTAAGAGATCCTATCACTAAGATCAATCATGTGTATGTTCAAATAAAATATATACTACTTCAAAAAAAACTCCTAACCCTAATTTTAAGAGAAAATTCACAAAATCTCTATCCAACACTTTTCAACAGTCCTATGCTTTTATTATTTCTGATCTTAACCAAAATAATTTGTCAGTAAATTTAAACATTAAAAATTTTAATACCTAACATAAATTATTCAATCCATTCTCATCACTGTACTTAATTTTAAAATTATTCTATACCCGATTATAATCCGTTTATGTAATATCAAAATCAAATTATCTTGTCAACGATGGGTTAACGTTAGCCAATAGAAAAGTTGACATAAACTTAAAGTCCCTCTAAAACCTCATCGACGATTCTGCCAACGCACCTATGCTCATATCTCTCACATCAATTTTCGAATCTCTTCATATCTGACCTGTTCTATCACTGTTATTACTATCTTTAAGCGCATCACCAATTATAGTTCGAACAATCCAATTCACCACATGATACACCTTACTAAAGTACATTCTTCATTCTTACACTAATTAAGATTCTTGGTTCCGTTTCATTTCCATCTACTCGCATTGCATGTATTATTTACTTGTTTATTGCAACATTAATAAAATAAAATAATATATTTTTATCGGACTATGATAATTTCATATTTTTCCATATCAATAGATACTTTTGTTGTACATAGTACTATGTTCTATAAGTATTATAACGAAAAAATTGTTTAATTATTGAGTAATGGTAGTAGTTAAATGTCAATTATAAGAAATTTATTTAGTTAATACTATAAAGCTAATTATCATGAAAACAATAATTTATTATTCCCTTTATACTTTATATAAAATCAATTATTTATTTTCTGATGACAAACAAATACACAAATATAATGATTTAATCTCTTTAAACAACTATGTCATAACCATAATGCTTTTTAACCCGAATCTCCCACCGAGGAAAACTTTGAATAAGTAGTTTTATAGTGACATAAATCATAGTTGTGTATAGAATCTACTACCTATTATAATACTATAAAGGGCTCACTAATTTTATTCGATCAAAATCCAGTAAAAATAAAGTTATGCAATAAGCATAACATAAAATTATTGTGGTCATAAATTATCCAATAAAGATTGAACAAAATTACCGTATACTCTATTATTTTAAATAAAATATGTAGTAAAATTATAGCAGTAACAACAACTTTTTTTTTTTAATAATTGAAAAAATAAAAATGCAGATGCGTACAATACGCAAAAACTTGCGTGTTAACTTTTATAGACTACTCCGTCAGAGTTCATCGAGAATAAAAATTATTATGTATCTGTCCAAAGAGTAAACCTTTGTTTAAATTACGATATAAAAATACACAAAATTGAACATTTAAACCGTATAGTATATATATAAGCTCATAAAAACAATCCAAGTGGTGTAATTTATACTCAAAATTGAAAGAACAAAATCTTGCTTCGTAAAAAAATAGAGCCACGTCATATCGCATTCAAGTTAAAAAAGAAAAATTCTATACAAACTATAAAACGATATTTTGAAGTCATACCAAAAAAAAAAAAAATAAATAATTAATATTGGAAATGGTTGTAGATTTATCTACCAGTACTATGAAAGTATGAACATAACGAACAATACTGCGCTTTTTATTTTGAGGAATAGAAGAATATAATACCATCGTTACTGCATAAAAGTAATAATTTATAAACGATTGCTATAATTATTTTAAAAATTGTTTATTAATTATATATATTAAAATTAAATTTAAATTTAAAATAGTAAAAACAGTGACATTTTTATAAAAATATAGACAAAAATTAAATATTACGCAAAGATTCCATTTATTTTCTCAAATACGTTAATTAGAAAATACAAAATAAACTATGCAGAGAACTTCTTTAATACGCCATTTAAAATATAACTCCTGTTACTAAAACTTCAAAATTTAACTCTTCTAAAATGTTATTATTTTGCACGCAATTGTAGTCATAGATTGTGGCCAATGTTACGTTTGTTATACTTGGATTTTTCGATTTTTAATATATCAAATTAAATTAATATAATATTGTACAATTAACATATATGTTCATGGACTTATATCTTATATTAAATCTTAAATTATTCTAACAATGAATAAATATTAAATAGTATAAATTACATATGATACTAAATAACCATAAAAATACGTATCATAACTTAAACTACATATTATTATAATATTGTAAAATATATAATATATTTTACAAGCAGTTTGTGCAAATTACGTTACAATAATATAACTAGTCTACTTACAGTATCAGTTTCATTATCCATGTTATCATCAATACACGATGAATGTCTCCGTGATAGAAAAGAAGGGGATTGTGTTTTAGACTCTGCATCAGAATTTTGATTGATAATTCTAAAATTAACATATTTAAGTGATAAATTTGCGTTATAATAAAATGAAAATAAATATACTTTTGAATAAGCATGTTTTAGTAAAATTTTAAATCACGTGTACTCGTAATTAGTTATAAATACATTTTAAAATGATGACAATGGTGGTAATAAGTATTAACGTATATTAAATAGTTGGAGCAGCGTTAGGTTAAAATACATTTTGACTTGGTATTGAAATGTTTGTCGTTTTCATTATTGTTGATTAAAAATGTATCAGTTAGTTTATTATACCACAAATAGCCTATCACTTCAGAACTAAAAAAAAAAAAATATGACCTAGTTTATTTTTGTAAATAAATAATTCACATAAAACTAGTAAGATATGATTATTGGGTGTTTCTAAAATTATCAGCTATATTTTTCGTAAAGAATCAATAAGAGCATTTTTATTTATTACTCCAAGTGCTACCAGTTATGTTCGTTAGATCAATAAATTAATTTGCTGTTTACAAATATTTATGTTTAATAAGTAATTTCATATGATTACTGAAGACAAAATGGGCTTAAAAAAAAATTAAATTTCTACAATTTATCAAATTGTGTTAAAATTAAATATTATACGCATTACTCCTGAATTAAATAAACAAGGTGTTAAAAAAATTAAAATAATGAGTAATATTTACTTATTTGGTGAAACGGTTGAGCTGTGTCTTCGCGGTGGAATTTCGGGAGGTGTATTTTTGGACGCCATGACTGGTCTGAAAAAAACAAATACTGAAAAATATGTTTTATTATGAAATATTTTTTTCATAGTTTTGATGTACAATGCTGTGATTAATAAAATTGCAAGAAAATGTTTATTTTATACTCTGAAAAATTACCCAACTGTCAAGGTTCTAAACTTTAAAATTAAATACGCATCTGTTGAATCAAAAGTACACAAAACATTTTTTTTTTTTTTTTTTAATCATTTTATTTGATTTAATTAAGAAAGAATGAAAAAGTAAAATAATTTTTCAATAATGACATTTTAAAAAGTTATTAAAGCCTGTAGCAAATGAAATAAACTAAAATGTAATATTATGTTTGAATTTTGTATTTTATGGTATATATCTAGATAATGTTCTTGTATTGTTTAAATGTTAAATTAATTTTGTTTCTTATGTCAATCAAATATATTTTTACTGTATTGTATACTGTAATATAGTATTTAGTATTATTATGATTAAATACGTATACAGAAATCAAATTGAAGGAGATACCTAAATCATCCTCTCTTCCCCCACAAACCAAAACATATACATATTTATATACGTATTTGTTATGACAATTATAGTACATACAATTATAAAAATGTAGAAGCTAACTAAGTTAAATACTTAAGCGTTCACAACAATATTAAAACAATAAATATAAGGCTGGAGAGAAAGAAATTTACTTTTTCTACTAGAGTAAGTTTTGTGAGATAAAACAAATTTATAACTCGGTCTATTTATAAGTTTTTTTTCTAAAAAGGTATGAAAACCTTATTTATCAGCAATGACTTTATTCAATTTTTTTACCGTACTTACTTTTAAAATCTAGATATAAAAGAAATATATTAAAATAAAATTGTATGCCCATTTTTGTATCTTATAGATTATAGTTTAAACTATAAATACAAATATTAAACGTACATTAACAATGTGGATTCTGTGAAAATAAAAGTACACATCCAAAATACTCATATAAATTAAAAATACATTTTCCGAAAATCAATATCTAGGTATGATTAGTCTGGATTTAATGAAAGCATACAACACTACATGGAAATTGTAAATCGTTTATCTCACTAAAGTATTTAGTCAAAACTAAATATTCAACTTTAACAAACATTTTTCTAAAAACAAGGAAATTTTAAATACAATTTGGACAATATATATCAAAGTGCTTTCAACAGTGTAACGGAGTTCCACAAGGCTCAATTATTTCGGTAACATTTTTTTTTATAGCCATCAACAGCATTACAAAAAAAAAATAAATACTTACTGGTTCAATCTACCCTCTATGCGGATGATCTTAATATCTTTTAAAGAAGCAAAAGCCTAATGTTCGTCCAAACCCACTTACAACAAGCCATTAACAAACTCAACAAATGAACCCAAACATCTGGTTTCAAGTTCTCCTCAGAAAAATCCAAATGTATAGTTTTTATTCGTAAACACAGTCAAAATCTTCTTAATATAAGAATAGGTGGACAGTCTATAAAATAATAATATTACCAAAATACTCAGTATAAATTTCGACTAAAGATGTTCCTGAACTCATCATATCAACAATCTAAAAAATTAAATTACTTCACGCCTTAATGTAATAATAATGTTGTCCTATATTTTAATATTTCATAAGGTCTAGAACTCATGTCTTGACAAATATATACAAGTTCCTTATATTGTTCAAATAAGATTACAGATTTTCCATGAAGGCAATTGTTAACAAATCACTCATAAAAAAAAACTCGATATAATACATAATTCAGGACTTCAAATGTCAATTGATGCGTATCGGTCAAGTCCAATATCTAGTACATATTTACAACCTATCTGGTACACCTTCGTTTAAAATAAGAAGAATAAAATTTATATTAAATCATGAATTAAAACTAGCAAGTATTGCTCCTTTTTTTTTTGATTTCAAACCAAAGTTTAATTTTTTACCAACATTGCAACGATTTATTGAAAATGTTGCTATTATAATACCTAAGAAAATAATAAAACTTTATAACGCTGAAGGGTTCTGTTAGTTTTTAATCATAAGTTGCATATGTAATAAATTATAAGTGGAACGTGAAAACTTATTAAAGTATTTCCATAAATAATTCTTCAGGTTCTCATTATTTTTTATATATATATATATATATTTTAATTATATCTATATTTTCTTAAATATTTAATAATCACTTTCTTATTCCAACTTGCGTTGTCTAAGATATTTATAGATATAAACGATGAACACGTGATACGTTAAGAGAAAAAATGATATGTCTACGAAAAAAAAAAAATGCGAAAAATCTATTGGAATCATATTTATAACACACAAAACCAAAACCGTGAAGATTTAATAGTCTATAAATGATTTATGCGTGCGTCTGTGTGGGATGCTGTATGCGTGAGTGTAAACTTGTTTTATAAGTAAGTTATAAACTATACTTTGTGGTTTTAATTAAATTTTTGAAAAAATAATGACGATGGTCTAAATAAATTTGTCGAACTACATATGAAGTTATCTCTTCTAGGAGTTTGAATTCTATTGCCATTATTGTTGTACTTAGTGTTCTTTGACGAAAAGCGATAAAATATCAATTTATACATTATACACACTTATTAACAACTTAACTGTTACCGAGTATACTCGCTTTATAACTTTTGTGGATTTTGTTCGACATCGAGTACCTACTTCATATTGTTAAACGTTCTATTATAATATGAAAGTATGAATTGGAAAACACGTACGAATTTCAATATGTATGAAAACGCCGCGGAACATGTGTGCTTCACAAATTGTTGGACATTAATTAATATCTAAAAAATCCATTTACATGAAATAATATTAATACACACAATTGCAAATTTTCCAGTAAATTATAAACTTTCTAAAAGATTTCTTACAAAATATTTATAAAATACAAATTTTATTTTAAATAATTTGAAATTAATAATTTTTTTTTGAGATTAATGTCTGTAAAATTTAATAATTCCAAATTTTCTTTGAAAGATTTTTATGATAGATTTATTGTAAATTTTTTTTTAAATATGATTAATTTACAAAATAAAACGATATCGATTGAGTTATAAAATATTAAATAATTATAATTATTATTGTTTAATTTTTATGATATTAAATTATTTTACAAAAATAAATACTGTATACAAGTATTAAAATAAGCAAAACTCAACTTTGTATAAAAATGGATTTTATATCTTAAACAAATTTAATGAAATTATTATTTAAATTTACCGATCCGTTTTGTTCTTATTACTTGCTGTACTTTAAATAAAAAATAAAAATACTCAAGTGTGAATTAAGTATGTACATGTATATTATAATATAAATATCAAAATTATATGTAAAAACTTAAAACTAATGCTTACCATGTACGATGCTAATAAATACATTCCTAATCTTATAAATTTATAATAGTTAGATAAAGTAGATAACAATATAAATTAAAGGACATTTATTTTTAACATAATAATAATTTTATCTATTTTCTATTAACTCAATGCAGCTTTCAAACTATCTCATAAATAATTAGTGTTACATAATTAGTGAACTTAACACTTTAGAATAAACTTATTGTTAAATCAACTTATATAAGTTTGAAAATATCCTGTTTTCTTGGAGGAAGTTACAACCTAATTAGTTTTCTACGTATACACTACAACAAGTTAAATTGGTATCAAAATATATTAAAACATTGTATATAAATAAATCGCAATAAATTTTCTACAAAATATAATAATATGCATACACTGATCATATATTTATAAAAATTTTAACAAACAAAATGTTAACCACTATTTTAAATTATGGGTAAATTAAATAAGCGTAAAAATCACGTATTTATTAAAACTTTTAATTGATCATTAATCTTATCAAATTATACTTTATTGAAATATAAAAAAAATTTATCGTAAATGAACTTTTATAATAATTTATTTTAATAATAGTAACAATATATTATATATATAATATATATACAATATCAATTCAGACATAGTTGATGGTAGGTACATGTATTAAAGATTGATATTTGATCATATTTTTTTTTCCCCGGTCGATGAGTGTAGAATAAAAATATAGGAAACAAATTAATTGTATGAAGTAAATTATATTCTAAATATGTAATTGCTTATTTAATATTAAACTATGGAATAAAATATACGAACAGTTTCCACCAATGAAAGCAATTATTTATCACTAACGTTTAAAATGTTCTATCAGCAATAAATTTCATAGCAGACATTCTTAAAAAGTTTCTATCATACAATAATTTCTTAACTCTTTTCAATTTAAATATTAAATGTTTGAACTAATTGAATAACACGGTCATGCACTCGTGTGTATTTTATCCGATTAGTCTGATCGGTCACTATAATTAGCTACAGCCATGCATGCTCACATCACATAATTTCAGGGTTGTATATTTGTATTCGTATGACTACGATACAAGAAAAATACATGGAAAATATTTTTAATTTATTCAGACAATTATTTGCCAGATACACGAGACGGATCCGAGTGACGGATATTTAATTTAATTTTTTTTTTTTTTTTTCATAAAAAAACTGTTTTAAAATTTAAGCACTCGAAAAACAGTCTTTTGGATCCCTCAGCCTAATGCGTTTAATAAAGGTTAACGAGTTTATTTATGACAAACCACAACAACAACGACATTGCGGTACGTCTCGTCGATACATTCAAATATTGTACGTACATATTATGTTTAAAAAAAAAAAAAAAATTAAAAAACCTTTTTACAAGTTACACTTACCCGATGAGCGTGTATCCACGTCGAGGTTGAGTTCTCTTTCTCTCTCTCTCTCTCTCTCTCTCTCTCATACACACACACACACACACACAAGTGCGCGTATACGCTCACTGACGAGAAGATGTTCGACGACCGGGTGCTACCGGTGACCGGAAAGAGACCGCGTGCCGCGAGCTGGAGAGACACACTATCGTGCGCTCGACAGCAGCTGCTCGACACCGTGGTCCTTTTCGGGTGGTTTGTAAAGGACACTGTGAGAGAGGGGAAGGGAGGCGCGTTCGTGGTGGCGCGTATAGCTGGAGTTAGTAGGGTTAATAGGAGGAGAGGTTGCGATGGAATAGGGGGGGGGGGGCAGCTTGGGCGCACTGGTTCTCTGTCCCAACCCCCGCCGCCAACACCATCGGCCACGGTGGCGGCACAGCGCGCGAAAAGGCCGACCGTTTTTCCCGCTCGACGATGATAGTGCCTTTGGCTGCGCTGGGCGGCGGAAATGTGGCGACGGGACGCACTATAATAGTATATCGTACGCTAGTGGCTGCGGAAGGTTACGGTGGACGTAGTAATAGTAACGTACGGCGATAGTGGAAGCGGTGGTGGCGGTGGTGGCGGTGGTGGCGGCGGATGTTGTCAACGGTGGTGCGCGCGCGCGCGAGCTCGCTGTAGCGCACACCCCCGAAAAACGGTCGCCGGCGTCCTCGCCGTCTTGATCGTACACGCTCGTGTTTCACCGTCACCGCCGGTGCTTGGAACGGAAGTCCGGACGTAATCCGCCCCCGCAACTGTATATTATAATATTGTTATTATTTTTATTTTCACATCATCGCGTACTACGTAGGTATGTTCAACCACGACCGCTTTCTATAATTCGCACGCGCGCTCGTCGACAAAAGATGGCCTTCCAAACACATTATTTCCCCGTGCGGCACAGGTAACGAACAAATTTAAAGCGTAAAAAATCACAACGTTTGGTAATATTATCGCACCATATGAAGAATATATCGGTAAAAAAATCAAAATCAAATCACATTTGACGGAGCTAAATCTGGAGACATTTCCGTATACCTACCATTTTTCGATAATACGACTTAATGGTTTACTTATGTTTATTAAAAAACGCGTGAAAATATATAAATAAATAATAAAGTATTAAAGTACAACTGCACGAGTATTGTTTTTCGTTTTTTGTTTTTTCTATACGCTCGTATACATATAGAATGGATATTAATCAGCGAAACCAAAGACAAATCGAAACATATTGTGCAATTTTTCCACTGAGAGATTTTTTGTGTGCAGTCAAAACTTATGATTTATTATTGTTTATTTTCTAAATTTTAAAACCGCCAAAGTTTCTGTCTTATTTTGCTGTCAACTCTATGTAAACTTGACAACTATTATTGAGTTTGTTCGTTAAAATATATTACAATATTAGACGATTTTTTCGGTATGACTTTTTTTTTTTATGGTCGATCTACATGATAAAAAATAATATACACGTTATGTGATAACATTTTTTCAATTAAAATACTGTACACAATTAAAAAAATGAAATTCTAAAAATAAATACCACCGCTCTTCGCAAGTAAGTATAATATAGCCATTGGTTCCTGTAAAATGAACGCATGAAGTATATTATAATACTCAGAATAAACATTACACCATATAATTTTATATTAAATTGTCAAACTATAACCTCCGGTCGTAAGAATATATACACGAAACGTCTACAATATACTTTTCTTTACTACCATAGGTCAATAATAATATATTACGGAGGCATAAACCGTCTGATTCCTGGAGTTTCGTATATTTTTCACTTCAAATTTACAATCAAAATGAAAAAAAAACCTTATTCCAATCGTCTACGCGCGTGGAATTGATTTCGGCCTTCCCCTTGCCACCACCACTACCTTATTTCATTATACATCGAAGTCGCATGCGTTCCAGTAGGTAACACTCCGGCAAAGTAGTCGACATAAAGGACTTGGGATCGTCACCTCTAACCAGACAAGAACGCTATATCATTATTATTTTCATTTATCTGAAAATTTAAAATAATATAATATGGAATTTCTGTACCATGGTTTCGTTGTCTCCCGACTGCGATAATAAGTATTTTGTTTCAGAGGTGATGAAATACACAGACTATAACCACATTGTGTGTACTGTTTAGTTATAAATATTTTCATTGCTCTACTCGGATAACTACCAAAAATTAATTATTAGAAATGCATTTTATTTTGGCGAACCGTTCATTAAATTTAATAACGAAATACGGCTAGTGTACTTTATTAAGTTGTTTTCAAAAGTAGATTATTAATACATGAATACTTACATAATAAATAATAATATTGAAATTTACTGTAATGAATGTAACATACCCTAATCATATTAATTGGATTACAGGTGTCTATGTTGCGCTAAACATAGTAAATAATGATATCATTATCAGACAATATTAAATTCTTATACAACAAATAAATTACATTTTTTGTTCTCTGTGATTATACATACCGTTGAAACACTTCTATTGTTTCAATTAATTTAATTTGTACGTAATATGTATTTCAATATTGTTAATTTTAATTCGTACTAAAACATTTTTTCATATTAACATTTTTTCAAAATAATTTCGTTTACAAAGTGTATAGTATAGTTTGTCTCTTATTCTCTCGCTTACTAGTTATCAGGAAGATGTATTCGTATTCTCATTGACACTAGGTTATAACTTATGACACAGGACTTTAAAACATTATGATAAAAATTCATTCTGGACGGAATCAAATCAATGATAACGTGTATGTTTCTTAAGTATTACTACCGTAATATTATATTATATTACACACAGACACCTCTGCCGCACAGGAGGTATTAAATACAGTATTATACTATAAAATGATCACATCAAGTCGTTTCAGATATTGATAAAACGAACTTCATTATAATATTATACTCGGTCAAATGTAATGTCATTCAATTTTATGCTAATAGTTAATCACTTACTATAATATAGCATTATAATCACGTTCGATGTATTCCGTGTCCAGTCAACTAGTATGAGAGCTCAATTGGTAGTCAAATTCGTCAAAATATACACAACTCGATTCGCTGCAACTGCGACATTCACACTTATAGCGTGGTTGGGAAACCAAACGAACACCGTTAATGTATAATAAAATCATTTGATGAAGTCGAATATATTGCAAGTCCGCCAGTGCCCATTATATTATACTAACATGATGTTACATACACGGATACACATGCACATACCAACACTATCAGATATATGAAGATTATAACAAACTATTTGACATAACAATGTTCGTCTACAATATAAATGTAAATTAAAGTTTAGATATTACGGTTGGTCAACGTAGAGACGCAATTTTTTCGAATGATGTAGGTTAGTTCGAATTTTTTTTTAATACCTGTAGCACACCGAAAAACCACACCTTATATCGGGTTAATCGGATATATTGTATAAATTACGAAAACTCCGTGTAATAAAAATCGATATTTATTTCTATATTTTTAAAACCCAAACCTAAACTTGAACTTATAAAATACGTACTATTAACGGATACAATATTACCTATGCTATGTATTTAATATCAATATCTGTAAGACTGTTTTAACTCCAATTTAATACATAAAAATATAATAAAATTGTGTTAGATACATATTATTAAAATTTAGTGCCGAGTTAAAAAATAGTGTTTTTAAAATTAAATCAGACAGTAATTGAGTAACTTAAAAAACTTTTGTCGGGGAAAAATTTACATTTTATAAATTAAACAAAGAAAATTATTTGTCTAGAATCAACAAAACAAAAAAAAAAAAACATCAATATTTGATTTGATATCGTAACTATAAAGACTTAAAGCTAAATTTTTGAATAAAGGCTAACTAGATTTGATTCATTGCTACCACAGCACAATTTATTTTAACAAATGCTCGGAAGCAAAATATAATAAATACCTAATACTCAAAACATCATAGAAATGAGAACAATTAGTATAGCCTTGATTTGGTTATAATATAAATACAAACAAATATATTTTTTCTCTTTTACAAAATTAAGTTTACAACTTCAACTTTGTTTATTTTTTTTTTTTTTTTTTTTTTGACAATAATTATCTTATTTTAACCTTGACAACATGAACTAATTTAAACTTCAAAATATTATTTTCAAACAATACATATATTCTATTTCAATACTTTTTATTTATTTAATATAATTGATAAGGTATAAAATAGTTTATTTAAGCAATAATAAATAGATATTTTAAAATAGGCGTTAAAAAAAAATACTTTTACTATTCAGAAACTATTTAAACATAGCAAGGAATGAAATATTTTTATAAATTTAAACTTATTTAAATATAATTTTTAAATTATTAATTATTGGCAATTAAAAATAATATTTAAGTTATCATTATTTTGTAATCTATCACATATTAAAGCGTTTTGTTTCATAGTTAAAATATAGAAAATAGATATATCTTATATGCATATAATATGATGTTGTAACTATTTTATATAACGTTACTATAATTACTTAACATTTGACCCTTTGGAAATCTTATAGGAATGTCGATAAATTTTTAAAAACGGTTATACTATTCATTATTTCAACATTCCTAATTATATTAAAATATATTATACCTATATATTGTTTATTTTTTAAATAAATCAATTGAGTAATTTTTAGTACCCACCATTTTTCCCGAATCAAAATTCCCGAATGAATTTTTTCCCGAATAGTATTTTGCCCAAAAATCCAAAAATCCGAAACCTGTTTTCTCGAACACCTTTTTCCCGACGGTTATTGCTTCCGAAATGAAAAAAATTTAAAATATTGTTATTACTGGCATATTTTTTATGTATTATATTTTATACCTACAACTAAAATACTACTATTAAATAAAGATAAAGATAGAATTCAAGAAAAAGTATGGGTGTTTTTCCTTTAACGCAATTTACAGTCGTTACAATGACATATGTATAATATATATACCATTACTAATTTGCCACATGAACATTTTAGTTGATTTATATTTTATACCTGTATCATCGCGTGCTTGGGATATTATGATTATGATTATTATCGCTATAGTATACACGTAAATTGTCGTAATTGTAAAGTTTCATTATTCGCGTACTATCAATTG